AATCTGGGCATCCACGGGGCTAAGCAGCAGCCCCCAAAGTGTCCCCGCTCGCTGGGCGCTGAGGAGGAACCAGACGCCGGCCCGGAGAGCCCGGGCGGGAATGCAGGCCCCGCACCTCGCGGCCTGCCGCTGCCGCCGGCGCAGCTCCGGATCCCCTCACAGGGAAGGGGACGGGGCTTTGGTGGCCCGGGGGTAGCGGTTGTGGGCCGGGACGTGCGTGCTGCTCTTCAGCTCGAGCCGATGGAACTTTAAAATGACTGGGGGCATGTGGCAGAGCTCGGGTTTCATCAACCGATGTGAGGTGTTTTTCCTGAAGAAATTCAGATTCGTGGTTCATTCTGCTCTGGCATAAGTAAATGAAGCAATTTCCCCTTGTCAGCTACTGACTGCTAAAAATGTTCCACGGCCCCAAGTCCCCTAGTAGCAATTAGCAACCCGATAATTTTTACGTTATCAGAAATGACTGGAAAAAGACATGTGGGTGCTCAGCTGTGTACCTGATTCGTGCATTTTACATGAAGCTGTGGAGTACATGCATACTTGCTGCGTACTGCGTATTTGAGTATGTGTTTCTACATCTATGATCTTTAATTTGCGCCAAGGTGGGTTACGGATGACAGTGTGCTGTGGTTTTTATTGAGAGAGTGTTTAATGGTTTTCCTTTCCTTCCCAGAATTGTTTGAGAAGAAGAATTATGAGCTGAGAATAGCAGGAGGTGCTGTGAGGGATTTACTAAGTGGAATGACACCACAAGATATAGATTTTGCCACTACAGCTACACCAGCAGAGATGAAGGAAATGTTCACATCTGCAGGTGTTCGTCTGATCAATAACAAAGGAGAAAAACACGGAACCATTACAGCCAGGGTTGGTTTATGATTTGACTTGGATCTTTTCTAACTGTATCTGTAAACGTGCAGCATATCCAATGGAAAACTGGTAGCATGCTCCGTCTTTGTTAAAGTATCACACTAGGAGATTAAGTGAGACCTGCTTTAAAGTTTGAAGTGATTTTTTAATTACTTTTTGTTTGTAAAAATCAATTACTGTATTTTAGTGCATGTTTAGTGCTGCTGTGTTATCGCTAGAAAAGATAATGTAGGCCACTCACATGTTCAGATAATGTGGGGAAGTTGATCCTGGTGTCTCCTGCTCCTGATTTTCAAGTCTTGCTTCCTCTACCTTGCTTGTTCCTCTGCTTTGTAATCTGTCTTCTGCAGGAAGATTTCTGCAGGCTATCTAGAAAATGAATAATGGAAGGATTATTTTCAGATATTTGTATTTCTTGATTGTCATCTGCTCTGTATGAGAACATGGTACACATCGGTTTGCATGTATCCAGCTTGAACACTAACTGTATACAAACATGAGGCTGAAATAATGTACAGCTTTTACATTTATATTCATGATTGTGTTGAAATAACAATGTCTGTGGGATTTTCAGCTCCATGAACAGAATTTTGAAATTACTACTCTTAGAATAGATGTTGTCACTGATGGACGACATGCAGAGGTTGAATTCACCACTGACTGGGAAAAAGATGCTGAAAGAAGGGATCTGACTGTCAATTCCATGTTCTTAGGTAAATACTTTTAAAAGCAAGTATTTAGATGAAATGCTACTTTTCAAATTAAGCCAGTGAATTTTCCATGTCTGTTTCAATTCTGGTTTGTACTGCTGTCAGCTGAAAGGTCTGTACAAATGTGTGAGATGATCAGATAAAATAGGTGAAATCACACAACTTGTCTTCTGTATTTTCAAGTGAGAGTGTTTAGTTGTGCCAAGTATGTTTGTAAATTCATATTCTTTAATTTTTTTTCTTCTTATTCTAGGTTTGGATGGGATGCTGTATGATTTTTTTAATGGATATGAAGACTTGAAAAACAAGAAAATTAGATTTGTTGGAAAGGCAAGTGAGAGAATACAAGAAGATTATTTAAGAATCCTGAGATACTTGAGGTACTAGGTTTTGCCTTTCCTAGATAAAGGAATTAATTAAACATTGTAGAACGTTTCAGAAATGTGAAAAAGATCAGTGATGTAAAAAGAATTGTAACTGTTATATTGTTGTTTTCTCTAGTATTTTAAATTAGAATATTTAACACTGTCATGACATTTATTCTGTAAATAGCAGTGAAATTCTCCCAAGTAACAAGCGACAGGACAAGAGGAAATGGCCTCAAGTTATGCCAGGGGACTTTTAGATGGGGCATTAGGAAAAATTTCTTAACCGAAAGGGTTGTCAAGCACCAGAACAGGCTGCCCAGAAAAGCATTTGATTCACCATCCCTGGAAGGATTTAAAAGACATGTAAATGTGACACCTAGGGAGATGGTTTAGTGGTGGACTTGGCAGTGTTGTGTTTACAGTTGGACTCAAAGATCTTAAAAGTCATTTCCAACATAAATGATTCTGTGATTCTAAATGGGATAATTGTTCTCATTCTAACATACAGAAGTGTGTTTTGGGCAGGTTTTATGGAAGAATCGCAGAAAAACCTGGTGATCATGAACCTAGTACGCTGCAAACAATTAAAGAAAATGCCAAAGGTTTGGCTGGAATATCAGGAGAAAGAATTTGGGTGGAACTGAAAAAAATTCTTCTTGGAAACCACGTAAATCATTTGATTCGACTTATGTATGAGCTGGATATTGCCCAATACATAGGTAAAGTGAAATTAAGATTTATTTCCTACTCTTATATCATATACAAACAGAACTGCAGCACGGCAATATGAGATAAAACATTTTACCCAAAAAGAAATCAGTTGGGCTTTTTTTTCCTATGTTAACACTCACATTTCTTAATTGTCTTGCACTTTTTTTGTGTATATCCCTTTAGGACTACCACTTGATGGAAATTTAGAGGAACTTGACAGGGTCACTAAAAGCATTCAGAATCTGTGTCCCAAACCAATGACAGTTCTGTCGTCGTTGTTCAAGGTGAAGGATGATGTCACAAACCTTGATCTGAGGCTGAAAATCTCTAAAGAAGAAAAAAACCTTGGCCTTTTCTTAGTGAAACACCGGCAAGAGTTAACCAAAGCTATGGGTCCAGAACCACTTCGACCGTATCAGGACTTCATAATGGATGTATGTGTATTTTATGTTGCTTTTATTTTGTTCTTCACAGTAAACTCTGAGTTTCCAGTTTTACAGAGTAGCAGAGATGATGGTGCCTAGTGGAAAGAAAGGGCCCTAAAGGGTCAAATAGGATCCATTTCATCAGCAGGCTGGTTTCTTGTCTTAGGCAAATTTTTGCCAAGGTTTTGAAGACTGATGTTTTCATCAGAAAGATGGGATACACTGACAAAAAATATTAGCCAAATTTGGATTGCTCCCAGTGTAATGTCATCCCAGTAACTGGAAGAATATCCTTCTGTGTTACAGATACCAGTTCCAGTTAACCTAAGTGGAGTGGGTTGCTTGGTTGGTTTGGTCTTCCCCTTTACTTTTTTCTCTGGAGAGGGGACCAGAAATTAGTAAGGGCTATTGCAAATGTCCTGGCATGTCTCTGCAACATAAATCAAAATCTTTGGTATAAAAAGATTACTTTCCTCTAGTATTTTGAAGGAGGATAAATAGCTGACACTTCTACTTGGGTCCAAAAGCTTTTTTATTTCTCATCCAAAATACTGAGGCTTTAAATTAATATTTAAGACATTTTAAAAACATTTTTAGCATCTTTGAGCACCTTGTGTTCTGTAGCAGTTTTTGACTGGATTTAAAAGCCTATCTTCCGTCAGGCTGGAAAATGTCATATTCAGTCACCTGAAACAGAAATGTCCTGTCCTGTCTTGTCCCAGCTGATCTGGGTGAAAACATGAGACAGGATCTGGACCTGAAGAGGCTCCAGCTTTTTTATGTGAAAGTCAACTCTTGGAACTGCGCCTTGAGAGCCGGTGCAATTCCTGGAGCAATGAGGAGCACTGTGGCGTGGGCCACCTGCAACGTTCTTCTGCAGCAAAGTTCAAGTAATTGCCAGGTGAAGTTCTGCACTTTTCTTGCAGTACCTGAGGCTGAAGGTGAGAGATGGCAGCCTCTGCATTGAGGCCTGTCCCCCCTGCAGGAAAGGTAGTAGTTCCTCTCCAGCTGAAGATAACAGTTACAGCTATTACCTGGAATTCAAGAAGTCTCCAAGGATCTCCCAGAGCCTCCACATTAAGACTGAGTTTTAACTTGCTCAGAGGTTGACATGTCATGGGAGTAACACAATGCTGATCACAGTTTGAGCTGTTTTCTATTGTTTGATAGTGATTCCTCTTTTTTTTTTTTTTCCCCAGTCTAGGGAAGCTAATACAAATTCCAAGATTTGTGAACTTCTAAAATACCAAGGAGAAGAACATCTTTTAAGAGAAATGCAGCAATGGACTGTTCCTTCTTTTCCTGTCAGTGGCCATGATTTAAGGAAAATGGGGGTGTCTTCTGGAAAAGAAATTGGAACGACGTTACAGCAGTTACGGGATGAATGGAAGAAGAGTGGATACCACATGGATAAAGAAGAACTGTTAAGTTGCCTGAAGAAGTTGTAAGATGGAATAATAGAGAACTGTGCCGTCTTCTAAGTGTAACTGAGATACCAGTAAATACTCTGTCAGTGGTGGTGTAGCCAATACAGCATCTGTCGTATTCTTTGGACAGCACCTTTCTCCTGTTATTAATTTGTAATTTCTGCAAGAAGTTTAATTTTGTAGTCATGTAAAATGTTAATTGCCAGATTCCAGTCTCTACTTCTTTTTTCTTGTATTTTGAAGATAAGTATGATTACTTTGTCTTGACTCTGGGGCATTAGAGGTGACACCAAGACTTTTCTCACTCTGACTTTGCTGTATCTAAGAAAAAAAAAAGAAAAAAAAGTGTTTCTGTCCTCTAGATAAAATCACAGGGGGTTTTTGTGCCTAGAAGAGTGACAAAGGGGCTAGAAATAATGAGCTCTCAATCTTTTTGTAGTTATAGATACCAGATTGAAATACTCACTCCAGCAGTTCCCAGTCTTACCATGTAAAAAAGTCTGGTTTCTTACAAGATTTTTTTTTTCCATAAACAATTTTAGATGAAAAGGATGATTTAGCTGAGTCAGTATCATGAAGTTCTTGTCTCTTCAGTAGTTTTTCAGTAACTTATCACCAAGCAGCTCAATCCTTAGAGGGCTGCTGAAGGGTTTGACAGTGTTTGTAATTTTGTGTGACACATGCTGCTCACGTTAGCAGGAGTCTGGGGTGTCTGCCATTTCCCCCACCGTGGCTACTAGTTGCTGTCTCCTTCCTCTCCTTTTTCTTGCCCGGTGAGGTGTGAGCAGAACTCAGGTGAGTGACCCTGTGCATTGAGGCTGGTAGTGCTGGTGCCTTCAGAGTACAAACACTCAGGAGAAAGCGCTGGTGCCTTCAGCCCTTCTCCACCTTCTCCTGTAACTCGCAGCACTGAGACCTGAAGGCTGTTGCCTCCTCTCTGACCTGCAGTTCTGTATAACACCCTAGGATTATTTTGGGAAGAAGTCTTGGCATCCCTACTACTGCTAATGCACCAGGATCTGCCCTGGGTCCCTTCTGTTAATTATCCATTCTGTCTGAACAGAGCCATATTAATAATGCACTCTGAACATGCTTCAAAAGAAAATTCACCCCTTGAAAATTCATATATATATATCAATAACATTTTGAGAAACAGGAGAAGGCAAGAGCTTTGACTTAGTTAAAGCTGATGGGTGAGAAAAGGGAAACTAGGTAAGGAGAGAGTTGTTTGCACAGCTCCTTCTGCCCTGGTTGAACAGCAGCCATCAACGCTGTGGAGGATGGTTTTTCAAGCAGTGCTGTTCCTGGCTGGTCTTAATGAACGTGTATTAACATCCCTGGATTGTTTTGTGTGTGCTTTAAAAAAGAAAGGAGAAAAAACAGCAAAGGAATGATTCTACCCCAGAGGAGCTCTTCTGTATATAAATTTTAGTGCAGGTTGAAGTTTTCCTACAAAATGATGGTTGTAGTTTGGATTTATTTTTCCTCAGATATCATTGTGTGACACTAGATGGCAGTAAGGCCAGCACAACGTTTATGCTTTCATGTAGTTAACTTTCTACCTGCTTTTGGTATTTGTTTTTTGTTTTTGTTTTTTTTTTCCCTAGAAAGTCAGTTACTTTAAATAAATCAGTCTGAAGGTACTGGGGAACTTCAGGAAGACAGCAAGGGAAGACAAGAAGTGCTGTTTTTCTCTGTTAATAAGGCAACTCTCATAAGAACAAGATGGTGTTTGATTTAATTATGTAATTAAATCAAAGCCTCCTTGTGCAATTTATTGAACTACTGAAATCTTGGGAGGGAAACAAGTAATAAAATTTGGTACTATAGTAGACTCCTGTAAAGAGCACTTCACAAAACTGGATCTTTTAAGGCAACAGCTCTAGAGGTGGTAAAATATTAGTAATCACACTTTATGGTTAACCAAAACTGCTGTCAGGGTCCAACTCCACTTAGAGGGAGGATATTTAAGGACATGAGCTTGAAACCTTTACGGTCTCCAGTGCTTGTGAAAAACAGCACAGACAGATTGTTCTGAAAGCATCTTAATTAAACAGTCCTGCTCTGAATTCAGCATCGTTAGCACATTTGCTCAAATAGCTCATTTAAAAATCATGGTATGCTTGAGGTTTCCAGTTGGTCTGTGGAGCGTCTGTTTTACTGTAATCCAAAGAAATTAAACCCTAGTAAAATGAAACTGTGTTAAAACAAAATAATAGCATATTTTAAACAGGCAGGACCAGCTTGAGTTCTGGAGAAACGATGTGTTTGAATAAACATTTTTTATAGAGTATAAACTATTTAAATATCGAAGTGGGAGATACAAGATGAAGCAGTTTGATACATGGTTGAGTAAAGTAACTCTTCTCCAATGGATTACATGACTAATTAAACTATAATCTCAATGTGTTTTAATTAAAGTTACACATCAGAAAAACCTGTATGGCTTTGCTTTCCAAAACCAGCTGCCAGCAATGATGTTAAGTCCATCACTCTTTGGGTTTGTTGGAAAAAGCGTTGAAGAATAATGCCTCCCCTTCACCTGCTTCTCCTTGGGGGGACTTAACCCAAAAATTTGCAAAGAGTAATGAAACAAACTCATCTTCCTGTGGGTGAAGCCAGTTCCACTGGGCTGGGAGCCCAGCACAGTGGGACAGGGCTGCAGCCCCTCAGCAGAGCAAAGCACCAGAGCCCCCCTGTGTTTTTTGGGGGGGGTGTCCTAGGTACCATCCCCCCCACTCCTGCTCCACCGTGCCTGCCTCAGCCCCAGGAGGGAACTGCCTGTGAAGGGCAAAATGGTAAATAACAAACTGCTTTGCCTCACAGATGGCTTCAGAGAATTAATGAAGGTTTTGACCATTCTCTCAAGATGTAATGATCTGTAAAAATGATGGAGAGGCTGGCCTGGCTTGGCTGCGTTTTCAGGGGAAAGGCCACGACTGATTTCCCCTGCAGAGCCCTGACCACCCAGCCTTTGCAGGAGGGGACGGTAACGCCCTGACCTGCCCGAGCTCCATGCTGCATGGAGTAAGGCCCCGTGGGAGGTCACGGGCTGTGCCGTGGGGACAGGACAGTGCCCCAGCGCTGCTGCACCGCCCTCCTGGCCCTCGACCACCAGGGCAGCTTGGTCTGTTTATACACACACAGACATACAAAATACCTACCTAGCAGTCACACACACATACAAGATGTAGCTATCTATGCCTCCTAAACTTTATATAAATAAAACCATAATCTATGATAAATAATAAATATATAAAGATAGAACATAGTATATAACAACTCTATAATTGTAATTATAACTTTTTTATATATACAAACGTATTCTATATAAACGGATAAAATTATAGGGGCCATATAATACATATGTAATATATGAATTTATATGTATATTAATATATTAATATCATACAACAGAATAGTATCTATTAATAGTATGTATACATATATTATTTGCTACAATATATACTTTATTTATATAGTTTAGGAGCCATAGAAAGTTAAGAGAGGTAGATAATGTGTCTGTAGATACCCAATGTATCCTCTGTGTGCACACCTATATACACATACAAAGCCATGTATATGTACAGAAAAACATGTTCTTTTTGTATAAATATATAAAGTTTAAGAGCCACAGATAGTTCATATGCGTGTGTGTGTGTGTGCGCGCGCGTGTGCATGTCTGGAGAGAGAGAGAGAGAGAGATATTACATCCATCTATATCTAATCTGTAACTATAGCTCATTTCCATCACCCCCCCTGCAGTGGGAGGCTGCATTCCCTGTATGCGCTGTGGCCCCAAGTGAGCCGCAGTGCCCATGGGACAGGGGCGCCCTGAGCAGCGGCACCCCCAAAGTGCAGGGGTTCAGCACTGCGCAGGCTGGAAGGCTCAGCTGGATGTGGGGGGGAAGAAAAAAAAAAACCAAACAAAACAAAACACCAACATTAAGGCAAACACAGGTGCTTGTGGCAGGAAGCAAAGGGGCTTGTGCTGGGGTTTACACAGCAAAGATCAGTTTTAAAAATAAAAACAAATTATAAAAACCCCTAGCCCTGCTGCACCCTAGCTGGCTGAGACTGGCTCTGAAACATTAGCACTTTCGTATAAAGAGGATATAGATGTTCACTAATACCTGTGCTTCACCCAACCAGGTTGCTACGGACACTTTAATAACCAGCACCTAGAAAAAGTCAAGAAAAGATTACGCCATCCTTGGGCTCCCCAGCAGATGGCTGCAAGCCACAAAATTGTTCTGTTTTCCTTTGCCTCAGTTTCCCTACTCCCATGGGAAGGGCTCTGCTGCCCTGGGATGCCCAGATGGCTCCTAGCCCTGTCCCTGTCACCCAGCACAGACATGATGGGGGCTGGCCAGGCACTGCACCGTGGTTCCAAAGTGCATTAGTGACATAGCACCGCAGGGTCACATCCAGAAACAGCATCAGCACACACAGGAATTATTCTTTACTTCCAAAACATTTATGAATCATGCCAGTCTGAAGTTTATGCCTCACCCCACCACACTCCAGGCCTTGTCTCTGCCTGTATCTAAATACCAGTTGTACAGGGGAATTCATCTGGCTGAACATAAAAGCAGGATTATCCTTATTTTACTTCCCCATATGGTACAGCCATAAATGGCTCATTAACTTCAAGGGTACTCTTGAGGGATTAAGGCTCAAGTAGTCGATGGCAATAACCCCCTGCTGTTCCTCTACATGAGGAACCAGGGTGTTGGGGGCAGGATGACATACATGGAGCATCAAACTCTTTCCATATGGAGACAGGGGCCACAATACTCAGATCCAGGTTGTCCTGATTCAGCTTGGATAGGATTAAGTTTTCCCAGCAGAGAGGGGAATGGATCTCCAGGTGGGTTGTTCATACCATGCTAAGGTCAGGTTGGGCTCAGGAACCTTTTCCTTTGTGGCTTTGGTCACAGGGAGCATGCGAGCAAGCTGTCTGTAATCACTGCGGTATTTCTCTGTATATCTTTTGTATTGTTTACTGTTACTGCTTTTTTTTTTGTTATCAGTGCTACTGTTGTTGTTCAGATTGCTTATTACACTGTTGTATTAAATTTCTTCTTATTTTAACCCAGGGTTTGTGCCTCACTGCCAGCCCAACCGGCTGAGGATGGGGGAGGGGCAACGGCAACTTGGTCCCCAGTCCCAGCAGGGCTTAAAACCATCACACAGGTGAAGTTTGTCCTCTAAGTACTCTAAAAGTTCTGTTTACCTCCTCCAGATTAAGGAAGCCATATAACATGCTTCATTTCTTCTAAGCCTTTATAATTTCCCTGTGGATTCACCACAGTGGGGGACAATGTCTTCAGGTACCCAGTGCTCTACCAGGGCTTCCATTCAGGTGGGTGACCTTTCTCACAAGCCTCAATAAATCAATAAATTCTACAGAACACTGTGGAGCGTGACTGCCTGAAGTATCATAATTCCTTTTCCTCCCCTAAAAATCTACTTCCAGCTCCAGCAGGACAGTAAAGATTATGTTACCTTGGCAGAGCATTAGTGGTGGGGAGACTAACAGTGTCCTTTGTTATCTGGCTGTGCAAAAGGACAAGGATTTAAAGCTTTGACATTTTAGATAATTTCTTTATAACATGTTAAGACAATAGATATTTAAGAGTCTGAAATTCAATTCAGCATGCTCCACTACCTGTATATCACCCAAACTACCCCTCCTAGAGCCTCGCTTAGGCATCATACCTCCAGCCAAAGCTGTACAGAAAGAAACAGGAGGCTGGGAAGCTGTCCTTCCCCACGGCTTCCCCTCAGCCACGTGGCTGTGGGTTTGTGGAGCAGCAATGGGGTGACACCCATCGTAAACTCAGTGCTGTTGTCACAAAGTCCTTGTGATTTTATATAATGCTTTTTAGAACTGCAGGGCTCTTCTAGCAGAGTGGCATCATCACACAGGGGTCCTAAGCTCTCAGAAGACACAAAGGTCTGGAAAGGGAAAGCCCATGACCTGCTGCAGAGCTTCAGTGAGAGCAAAAAATTCTGCACTAGGGAAAAAAAATCTTGCATCAGCAGTGCAGTCCGTGTGGAAAACAGCATCTGCAAATACAGCTGGTACCTGCAAATTTCCCTCTGGCACAAAGGCCAAAGCACTGCCGAAGCCACCTCAAGTATGCCTGATTTGAAAATGCTGAAAAAACCAAGAAAAGCAGGGAGTTTACTCAAAAATTATCTTATTTAGCAAGTCAACTCAGAACTGCTTGAGAGCAGGCAGGCAGGCTCCCACACTGCTCTAACTGCCACGCTGGGGCCAGATGTGTGTCACCATCACCCCTCTCCTAAGAGCTCTGGATCAAACACTGTTTCTCAACCACCCCCCTGAAAGATAAAACAGACAACATGGTCTTAGCTCTGGCCCAGCAAGGAGGACATTTTGAAAAGTCACATAGGAAACACCAAGTTGTGTGTGGTGCTCTGAGCCCCAAAGCAGGATTAAGCCCATTTCATGCACTGAATTTAAGCCTTCTAACAAATTAGATTTTGGCACCGTGAGTTAAGCCAAAACTGTATCTTGATGATTCTTTGTTAATACAGTTTACAGAATATTCTCTTAGTAAAACTGATGAATAAACCAGATAATGGGAATGCACTCCTGGTGCTGCTGGTTGAACCCCAACAGGACAGCTCTGTGAGAACTGTGAGCTCTGTGGCTGTAGCCTATACATCTAGACTTCTCTTCTGCTTTCCTAGTTAAAATTAAAGCAACTTAAGGCTTCCTCTAAGCCTGTTTCAGCAGGGGTTTATGCAGCTTAACGCTCTTCCCACCTCAGCCCAACACTGCTGCTCCACCGCTCACCCCTGCCTCCTCTCTCCCTCCCTCATGGTGTTTCCGCTGAGCCTGTACCCAAAGCCTCTGACCAGCTCTCCTCAACGCATCTCCTCCACACTTCCACCACCCAACACCCTCATACACTTACCTACTACCTTCTCTTCATAGGAGAAACTGGAGATAAAGGGGATACTGGAAAAACCATCAGTGCTTTCTGACTTTGGGATGTTAATGCAGAAGGAAACAATTTGGGAGTGAAGCTAAGAACTACTCAGGTGGATTAAAGCAAATAAAGTGAACAGATGAGGGAGAAAAGAGCTCAAGATGAAGGACTTCACATCTGGAATGACAACCTGCACTCTCCCCCATGTTATTTCTTACCTTCTCTCTCCTTTACCAGTTGAGCCTGCACATTATTTGAAGCTGAAACTCCTTCAGCTTACATATTACTTTTTGCAGCTAACCAGTTTAAAACACAATGTAAACTCAAAACATTTTTTTCTATCCACCCCAACAATCAGCAAAAAAGAAAAATCAGTTCTGAAACAAACTGAATTTTATTCTTTGCAAATGTTTGCGAGCAACAAGATTTTTCTGAAAATTTTGTCTCAAAAGGCAGACAAAGGAAGAGTTAAAGCAGAGAACGTGCTACCCTTTTCACGGCTTTTACAAAGCAATTAAACAAAGGTGAAAAAACAATGAGAAACAAAATGATTTGTAGCACATACAAAAATAGCATTATTAAAAAACAAATGGTAGAGTATTTGAACATCTTTTAAACCCAGTGTGCAAGTGTCCTATGTGATTCTACCTATTCATCAAAACTAAACTAAAATATACGAAAATTTGCAATATTACAGGCTCCGATTGTATGACGTCTTTATGCTATTGTTAATGACGGCTTGAAAATGAGCACTTCTATGCTACATGTACTCCAATGCAGCCAGGACCTGCTGCTGAGCAGGGCAGTCCCTCCTCTGTCCCCACAAGATGCCTGTTTGTCCCTCCTTCCTCCACCAGGAGCCAGGACATCAATCCCAACTCTCATGTCAGAAAGGCAGAGATTATGGTGGGAGAAAAGAGAAAAAAAATAACCCCTTCTGGCAGCAGCCAGCAGATCAATTGGATTAATACATACATGAAACTACATACCAACCAATGAATGCAGTAAAACCAGGAAATTCTTGTAAAATGTGATTTAGCTCTCAAAAGCTTATGATGACCATATTTGTCAGCAATCATTTTCCACAATCCCAGTCCAGTAGTTTTCTCTCCAAAAAGGAGAAAAGACACGCAGAAAACTTCAACCAATGTGCAGAACCATTCACGACGCCCCACCTGTCCTGTACATTTTAAGCACGCACACATGTAGCACTGTGATGGCCAGCTTCACCGCGGCAGGATTCATCATCTGCAACTGCAATCACAATTGTTCTCAACCTGGAAAGTGTCACAGACTTTGAAATAGCAAACATCACACAGAAGGTTAAGCAGATGGGACATCATCAACAATAAAATTAAATTAGTGCTAAATTTACTCCTGACTTATCTCACTTGATTATATTAGTTTACATTTGACTATATATACACAATACCAAAAATCTGCCTAATTTATATTCAAACATTGCCAGCATAATGCCATTTTAATTTGAGGCAGTCCAAAAGACTCGGCCAAAGACCTTAATGAAGTTCAGTGACAGCTGAGAAAACAAACATTTTCAAAGCCTCGCTAATCAATACCCTCAGTGAATACTTCCACTGAAAGGCAGCAGAAGGTACTTTAAAGCACCCTCATACTTCTTGCCACTAAGGAGTCCTACTGAGGGTAACAGAAACAAGAGATACTAGTTATCTTTGAGGGAAAAAATAAGCCAAGCCTACAGCTAAGCCATGTGTGTGTGCATGCACATGTGTGTTGTGAGTTGGTGTGTGGGTGCGTGTGCAGGGCGGGAGGGGAAAGCCAAGTATGATTCAGTGGTTATCCAAGTACAGAGGTTTCACAGTCTCACTCTCACACTAGTGCTTATCATTTCAGCCTTTTGAAAGCTTATTACAGAAACATAATCAAAATACAAAATGTTTTCTTGAAGAAAATGAGCCATCATTCACCCTCTATTTGTTCAGAATTATATTCAAAGTAGTATTGCTTTTCACAGTTCACTGGCAAGTCAGAGCACTGCACACAAAATTAAACAACACAGCATTAAAGATGTCTACGGAGAGAACAAAACTTATCACAGAAGCACAGAGGTAGAAGGCTCCAAAGAACTAAACCTGAGTTACACAATCATTAGTTTCTACACACCTAACATGATAAACTACCCTAACAGCCTTTCAGCACCCGGCATCTCTTCACATCTGGGTATTCTTTCAGCTGCACCATAGCAGGTACCACGCTCCCTTTTAAATCAGCCACTTGTTTCGTGGAGAGCAGCTGACTCGGCCTTTTGTGGGAGTGATCTGTCCATGCTACATACCTTTGGTGTAGCAGCATGATTGAGAACAAGCAAGCAGTGGCTGATGTCTTAAATCTTAAGGAGTTTTGTGGTTTGTGTATTTGACAATACAAGTTCTTAAAGATTTACTTGAAGAAATAAAGAGTGAATGATAAAGCTTCAAAAGAAAAACAAGTGTGTAGGTACACACACACACACACACACACACACACACTGAAGAAATCTTCAGTTTTTATCAAAGTGCATTCTGAGGGAAAAAAAGCACAATAAATCAGTGGCAAAGAGTGCCTCATTTTGGCACCCAATTTCTGTAGCATAGACAGCACTTCAGAGAAAAGAAAAAAAAAGCACTGCCCTTTTTATCTTTTATTTAGAAACTTTTGCTGTTTGTAAGGTAAGGGGGTGATAATGTAAAACTTCACATTATGATAAGAAAGTGTAAAAGGGAAAAAAAAAGATGTTGCCTCCCCCTTGTCAAAGTAAATACTACTGAACAACTGTCAGTTATGTATTTTACAGCGTACTTCATACAACCCTGCACGTGTTTGCTCATAAACTGATCTTCACAGAAATAATTTTGAAAAGCACATGTAAGCACGTTCAACAGTAAATGACAATGTAGTTTTAAGATCTGGGACTGACCTGCATATTTTGAATAAATATTTTAACACTTCTGAAGTCGAACAGACTAAATAGATCAGACAACTTGTAAGGACCAAATACTTGCCCTGGGTTCCTTCAAAGGGCATCCTGTAATGCAGCTGCTCCAGCTGCAGGCAGCAGGAACACTTCTGCCAGCTACAGCACTGCCACTGACATTACCAACACAGGAGCAGTCAGAAAAGACTTCAGTCTTGTACACTCTTCGGTGGTTATTTAGCAAATATCTAAGAAACAGCACGAGTGTAAAGTTTGAAGTATTCCACATAGTTAGAAAGAGGGGTCCTCAGCAAAAACACTTTTTAAGTGTATTATGGAAAATACTCTGCAGCAAGTAACATATCTACCATCATACATATATTGCATAAATTATACTCTGCTTATTTGTAATTTTAGTTTCCCCCCACCTTCTTTCACTGCAAGTTGATAGCAGTAAACATGTTCTGAAGTTATGCAAGGAAGGAGAAAGTTCAGTCTCAAGTCTGTCCAGATGGATCAGATCAATCTCTTGGTGTCTCATGCCACCTCCTCTCCTCAGCTGTCATTTTAAAGATTCAGCCTTCAGTTCTCCATGTGCCTCAACAGTAATGTGGATGTACACCAAACCCAAATGTAGCGAGCCTGCTTGTTTGGTGGGTTTTAGTGTGTGGGTGCGGGTTCTTGGGTTTTTTTAAAGTTTAAGTAAGCATCAGAAGCAGAACTGAGTGTACGCATTTAAGAGACAGACTACTGCCTGTTCATCTCCACAGCAGGTTACCCGATTACAGGCAGAGCAACGGCGATCTATCCTGGCCTGAACCGTCCTCTGTTTCTGGAATCCGCGGCAGGAGAGCAGACCGTGTCAATCCCCAGAATTTCTGAGGTGACATATCCTTTTTGGTAGCTGTGAACTTCCATCCCATATGGTTCCCACAGATTCTGCACTGGGCTATAGTCCAGGCATACCTACCAAAAACAAAATAGAAGGTTGATGCCCACATGTAAAGAAAAGACATTTTTAAAAAGACTGGAACATAGCTCACTCATCAGGTAAGAAGTTAATACTAGTCTCAAGCTAGATTTTCAAAGAATCTTGAGGAATCAAGGTGCCCCAGCCCCCATCTAAAAACCACACAGATCTTAAAATTTTTTAAATTAAAAAAAAAATTTAAAAAATCAGCCTTCAAATAGAGAAACAAACTAAAGCATTTTATTAGCACATTTCAACAGCATGTTAAAACGCTGTGTGCCTTAAAGTCAGAAAATGGTTCTCAGAACATTCCTTAACAGAAATAAAAGTGATTTTTGCACTGCTCCTAGATTAACAGGGCACTGCATTTTCCAAAGCAACAGAGCTTTTCTTTAACAGTTTTACAAAGGCAGAACATGAATATTTCAAAACCCTCACAGAAGAAAAGAGATGAGAAGACACATAAGGATGAGGAAAATCAACTCCAGATATTACAAGCCACAAGTTTTCTTCAGGGAGCCTTAAAGCATGCATGTCTTGTGACAGATATGCCGTAAACCCTCCAAGTCATTACTCAATGTGATCTGATAAGCCAGAAACAAACCCTCCCCCCATGATCAAAAGGAGAAAATGGAAGAGTAAATGTGTACATGAACTGGCTACAGATACAGCCATGTATTATTTTATGTTGCTTTAGAAGCGGACATGACAGCCAAAGGGACAGAAAAACAATTTTTGACACTCTGGCACATAAGGGACCACACAAAAGAATGATTTGATGAAAACATATTTAAAGAATAATTTTGTGAAATTCAGATTCAAATAGTTTGACATTTCACATATTTTTAAGAGTTAAATATTCAAACTTTTAATGAATTTAGCTTATCTAGCCACAAAAACTAAAATTAAGCTACCAGAGAGGGGTGACATTTTGATGCAAGAACTGTCATTATTAGGGAAAATTTTACATCTTGACTGTTAATTCTGCTACTGTTTCAGAGAGACAGACTATTAAAAATCAAAGGTAATCAGATTAATACAAATGTTAGTAATTTTTAGATTCATGTAAGGTATTCAGGTTTTAGATCTAAAGAAGTATTTCAATAGAATAACCACATTTATATATTCTGGTTTTTATCTGCGCTTTATTTATGATCAAAGAAAGTTGTGTGGAAACAGCAATTGTTATTTTAGTTGTACCTTACACAAAATTATACACAAAGAAATACCTAGACAATCAGTATCCTGCTTATAGCTGCCAGGTGCTAGACTATGTTTTAAAATCTTAAGACTTCCACATTTTAAAAAAAATTGAAGAGAAATTCAAAAAACATTCTATCCAAATTTTGTTTTATTCTGTATTTTCAAAGTCTAAATCCACTTTCCTATTTTTCACATGAACAAAATTAAGATTTATGTTTCAAAAAAATAATGTATTTACTATTCCACGATCACAGGAATGCATTTACAACCAAATTCCTGCCATTTACTAGTAATATTTCTTTAACTGTTATTACCCAGGAAACCAGCTGTGCTCCGTCGATGGTCGTCCACTGAGATTCAAGTTGCAGGCTTTATATACAGTAAGGGTTTCATGGATGTACCCATGAGGATTCACATATGCTGCCATGGGTCCACATAAGGATAAACTGCAACAGACAATAATTTTGGCAGAGTTCAAGGAGGAAACAAGAAAACAAAGGCTGTCAAAGGTAAACAGAGGAAAAATGGCAAATCACACCCAAAACTATTTTCCATAGCAAAAGAACCACTTTAGACTGTAGAAAAAGAAGCATCTTTAATTATATTATTAAAATCTGGAAGAAAATAGATACTAATGTAAAATGTCATTGGTCACATTTTCTCAGAACTGAAGAAATTTAAAATGTCCAGTGTTGTAATCCAACACAATCCTCACTGACACAAATTATGCCTGTTTTCCAACTTATTATGTTTCTACTTCAGAAAAGGTATTTACAAAGAGAATATCACAAGTAAGGACTAAAACCCTTGTGTTCCGATGGACCTCGCCAGCTGTTTGTTAAAGGGGACAAGTTACTCAGAGGATAGCTGACAGGATGCCATGAACTACCTCATTTATGGCAGTTATTAACCTTTCCCTCAAAAACCTACAGTTCAGTATAAAAGTACACAATACTCATAATTTACTTTACTTGCTGCTTCTGAACAGTAACTTCCAGTAAAACCATCTATATTGCTACTTTTAAATCTAAGTTTAAAAGGAAGCAAAAACGTTCATTCATTACACTAACTTCTCATCATTCTGCTGTTAAAGTACATCATATTGACACAGCAGGGATCATGGTTTCTGGAATCCATTATTCAATTAGAAGGTAAGAAATGGCTTTTAATCACCACATCAGCTTCTTATCACATTGATAAAGGAAAACTGTGCAGAGTCTAAAAATCAAGACATCTTTTAAATGCTCACATTATCATAGGTGATGGACAGATATTAGTTACACCAGATTAAAATAGTGACAAGAGTGCCAGAAGCAGCATTTAGAAAATGTACAGTCTTATCATTGAACATGGCAGATATCATATAGGTCAAATATTTAATGGGAACATACTGCCTAGTGCAGTTATCAGGATTAAACCATATATTTCTAAAATAAAAGAAGTATCGCAATGCTTAATAACAAACGGGCAATTTCCTTACATGACAACACCCTGGGAGCCTATCTATACCACCCATTTTAATCTGCTGTTGAAGCTTGTTGACACACAGAAGTAGGGACAAAGTGCTGAGAAATAAAATTTGGGATCTCACGAGCTTTATACAGAAATAATAGGACAAAAAAATTCTGTGTAACAAATTTCTATTTCAAAAGTCACCACAGAGTGCATATTCTTCAGTGGCAAGGTGCTAGACTAGGAGGTGTAACATGGCCTTTCACACTAACTGCCGTTACAATAGACATGGTGATGTTCTGGTTTAATTTTTTATTAAAAAAGCTCAAGTAACGCACTTTGTTTTATAAAGAAAATTCCCTATAAATATTTACTTAAGTTTTATTAGAGCTGTGGAAAACACAGTATTTAGAAGAAATAACCTAGCGTAATCTGTTTTGCCATGTCGATGTTTCTGATTAAGAACCTCCCAAAAATTAAGAGCAATAAACTCACCTGAATATTTCATTCTTCGTAGTTATTTCTGTATCTTGGCATTGCTTACAACAGAGAGATGTACACTTGAAAAGAAAAACAAAAAAGGTAATTTCATTCATTTCCAGATGCTTGTTAGCACAGTGGCAAATAATAAAAATGTCTCTCCTTCCCTCAGAACAGAATTTGTACCAATTCTTTTGTTTATCTGGGCAGGAGTCACTTATTTCTCTTTCTATCAAAGGATGAATTTTTTTCTATGCATTTTACTTATTTATGGCAAACACTGTTATGTGAAAGACAAAACGGTTTTATATACCCCACGCTCCCCACCCCCCCAATATCTAGACACAGAAGACGACCTGACTACACAAAGATAATAAATGAGTCAACCTTCTAAGGTCTCTAAAAGCTAATTTAGAAAAAACCTTTGCTCTTCTAAAATACAACACAGAAAAGGTAGATGAGTACAAATGCATTCATTAAGTCTTTCTAAAATTTGACAGTACTTCAGATCAATGGTTTTAATTTTCTCACAAAATATGTAAGATGTATTGATCTTTCTCTTAAAGATTATAACAGATTAATTTCTCTTCTACAACTTCTAGGAAGTAGAATGAAACAATTCATCACTGACACTGCCCAGAAAATAAGCATTTAGATCAGCTTAGCAGAACACTACCATTAATTTTGAGGAGGTGCATTACTTCTACCTCTTTTTAAGGGTACTGCATGTGAAATTACCCAAAAAATGATCCACTATATTTTGGAACAAAATGCTGTGCCCAGGATCTTCACTTAGACAAGTCCCTGTGCGAATGCATATCCTTTTCAAACCTGGAGTAAATCACAGCTTGTGCTTCTGAGTCTCCCTGAGCTCCAAGTCCTGCACCCCACTTGTGTGATACCACACAGGCTTACATCAGCCTTTACTCTCTCCTTTCCTCTACTCAGATCCTCTGGGCTTGTTGTTGCATTTCAACTTCCTCCAGCTTCCTCCTTGCAGGTGACACTGGTTCTGCCCCACACTGTCACCACACTGTCTACTGACCTTGGAGACTTGAGGAAGGAAGATTGCTCTACTACACAGATACTATTTATCATACACCAGTTCATTTCACTTCCTAAAGCTCACTTGGCCTTCCTCTCCTACCAGTGAACCCTTAACACCTACTACAGCTCACTCCCTTATAGCATCCTTACTTTATCATCTAATGCTCGTATATCCCTCTCAGAAGCCAATTTAGACAGCTACTTATTTCCATCCCTCCATTTCTAAATGCAATTACCACAATTAGCACCCAGAGTTTACAGAAGTGTTACACTTGTGAGTGAGTACATTCCTTTAAAAATAAGCACAGAAACAGTTAACTGTCTTAATATTAACAGAAAAAGCTATTAGAAGTGCAATATAATTCACTGGTATCAGAGACCTAAGAAAATGGATCCAGTCTTACAATCCACTGTATTACTGTAAATTTCATTCTGAACAGTGAAGCACATTCAGTCCATCCTTCTCAAGTACCCCCAATACACACTATGTTGCCAGAGCACCTCTTCTTATTAAAGAACTCTGGTTTAAAAAGATTGGGTCTGACCAAAATAAGTGTTGCTAAAAAACTCCAGAAAACCATAATGCACTTACCATTCTCACACTAATACAGAACAGTTAAAACACATTCACAGAATGTCACATGTTGATGAAGAAAACACCTTTCTGGTGTAAGCTAAAAATCAACTTTACCTTGTATTTTGTGAGGGTAACGTAAGTCCTCCTGTGTCTTTGGGATTTATAGAAAATATACTATGTACTGAACATAAACAGTTCTTAGTAGCATCTGAATATCAGAATATTTTCAGAGTTTACGACCCAGGAAAGACAAATGCAGTTTAATCTGATTAGAGCCTCACATGAAAACCTGTCCATTTTTGTCTCAATTTGGAAGAGACGTTTTCCAACTCCTTTTCTCTATCTATTCCCTTTTAGATTTTTGATGCAAGAACTTTAGGAAAAGGAACAGTATTAAAATAATATTCTGGTTCTCTTTTCCTCGGAAATAGGCAGTACTTTTAAGGAAAACAGGCAAAATTTCCACTGCCAGCAACCTTACAACCACAAAGGCAAGGGTCAATCAGGATGCATATAGCTATTCTTCGTGATATGAATGTATTAACAAAAATAGTAATTTGTCTCTCCATTCATGAATTGAATAGTAAGTATTTCAGCTACCACTGTCAAACACATCAACAAGTTTACAGCTAAAACTTGCATTTACACCAATGGCTCTTTACAGCATTTTCTCTTTGAAAAGAGAACAGCAATCTGAACTGCTGTCAGAGATGTTGAAAATGCTGTTCCTAAAACAGTCAATTCAACGTGAGGTTGACTGATACTTAGCTACATTATCAGTTATTACTTACAGTAGATATTAATAAAATATATATTATAAAGAAATGTACTATGTAAAAAACCACTTTAACGTCCTACATATAAAGCATTATGTGCTTATGGCAATGGGAAGAAGGGAAGAAAAGTTTTTAAACATCCTAAAAAACTTAATATGTTTTTGCCTAACAAGTTAATACACATTTTTGCAAAAATCCTTTCATCCCAATACTTAGATTTATACTCGAGCTCAATACTACACTACAAAGATTTCTCTTTTGTTACAAGATCCACGAGTTTTCATAGCACAATGCTACTTGACTGTGGTGTATTATACTGTCAGTACGGGGTTATGATGTTCTTAAGATGCTTATGAGAAACACTAAACTTCTAGCACCATCTCTTGGCTAAAAAGATGCTGTGAGGTGTTGAAATACAATTTCTAACAAAAGCAAATATGTTTCTTGCCTGCTGCCAGAAATAAAAGTCTAGTATTGAGAGAGCACTTCCTTTCCTAAACAACTTTTAAAGGGGAAGGAAGAAGTAAAAAGAACACCCAAATTCACTCTCTAGAAGCATTATTTGGCAATCTCGTACATTTTTGTTATAGATTGTAAGTCACTTTTTTTTTTTGTGAGAATAATTTAGTGACAAGAAAAAAATACTCACTTTGTTCATAATATCTAATTCACACCGCAGCCTCTGAACAGCACTACCTATTTTAAGCAACTGTATACGTAATGCATCATCAATTGGCAGGCAAGCAGCAACTCTGTAAGAAAAATCTAGAAATGAGAAAGTACCAGGCCTGTTAGCATTTTAGAGAGAAGTAAAACCTATTATTTCTACTCAGTTACAAACAGAACGCTAGAACTTGAGTTTATACTAGACTTTTACAGGTCATCTTGGTACATCCTTCTGCCCTAAGGCTGGATCACGTACAGGTAAAACCTCTTCTAAAATACTTGTCTAATCCCCACTTGAACACCAGTGATGGAGACTGAACAATGCTGGTAAGGTAATGGATTCTAAAACCAGAACAGATCCCTAGAGAACACTGTCAGATAAAGGCTTCCAATTTGATGGTGAATTAATGAGTTTCCCACCACTGGTAGTTACCATTATGCTTGCACTTTCTCATTTTTTTGCAAAAAAGACAGACATGTTTTTATGAGAGAAGAAAAAATTAAAGAAAAAACCCCAAACACAGACTTTCTTCATAAATTACAACCAAGTTATATAACTCATGTTAGTACTAAGAAAGTATTCTTTACTGTTATATTGTGAGAAGGAAAAAGACATACTCTGTATACACTCATTTTTGGAAGGTTTTTTTTTCCACATTTGAATAGAGACCAAAATTAGATCCAAAAATATTCAGTCAAGACGACAGATTTTGGTTTGGGTTTTTTTTTAAACAAGGTTTTAATATGATAATTTCTCAGGCAGCAACTTCAATTGGGTATTAAAAGGCACAAACACAAATGGTAGTGGACTTCACTGAGGCCATTCTTTAATTTTGCTAACAAAAATCTTGCTAAGCTGAAAACTATCCCATTCCTCACAGCTTCTAAAAAACTCAAATGCTGAAAATTAAAGTCAGCAAAATATCAGTGTGCTGTGAATCATGAGAAAAAGAAGTGCCAAAAAAGTACTGGCTTTGTTTGTTTTCAGATTTCATATATGGCCCTCTAAGCAGCACTGTGGGCAAAGCAGCAGGGTAGTACTTGCAACCACTACTTTAGGCAAATCAGAAACAAGAATTCCATGTACATCAAAACTGAGCCCAGACCTGCATTTGGTGCTTAAATTACTTTAATTGAAGGTTGCAGTTTGAATTTCCCCCCTTATTAGGCATCTGAGAGTCTACACAGGAAAGAATGTTTTTTTGCCTTAGAAAGGCTTCAACTGAAATTTCCATCTTAGTAGATACTAGAGACCTGAACAGACAAAGAGAATTGTTCAGTGGGGCATTACTCCAACACCTGTTAGGGCATGAAATCTTATCCCAGCTTCCTGTGATCAGGTTACTGGTGCTATTTTCCCTCGTGTTGGATAAGAGGTAGTAAGTAGTAAGAACGAAGAGATTATACATACTAACACTTAGACTTATGTAATAATTATTTTTAAAATCTAGTATGGTTTTGGTTCTTGTTTTCTTATGAAACACATCACATTCCTCCAGCCATGGAGCACAATACAGTTCTACTTCTTTTACTGAAGATGTTTTTGGCACAGTTGGAGGATGTTCATGTCTTTAAAAGTTCTATCATCCTTTTGTCAAAGTCAACCACCAAAATTTATTAGAAACTGGAAGCAAGAGATTGACTACAGTATAAGGTAACTATCTAAGCCTTATTTTCTTAAATAATCACCGAAACCCAAAATTTGAGTTCATAAGCTCAACATCATCATACCTATTGGGTTTGTTGGAAGAGATTCATCTTTAAGATTTTCATCCCATTCATGTAGCTGCCTCTTGACTCTTTCCATCAAGGTTTCCTTTTGTTAGAAGAAAAGCCTAATTTAAATACATAGGTATTTCTGTTTTCTTAGGAAAAAAAAAAGGAAGCAAAATGTAGAGTAAGCTATTTTCCCTAAGCGGACATTAGCTTTTAAGACTTACAGTAATTACAGACTCGTTTTGTATCTACATATTTTAAACTAAGAGCAAAACAGGATGGGAAAGGGACCAAAATGAACCAATGGCCCATGGTAGTTATAACTCTCAGCTGAGATAAGGAGACAACCATCCAAATTCTAGAACTGCACAAACAATATGAGGACTAGCCTCCTCCCTACTCCTGCCTCTCTTACATCACTTTTTTATATATATATATTTTTATATATATATATATGTAAATATACATATGTATATGTACATATATATGCACACACATATAAAGAAACATGTACTTTTTAAAGAGTAAGCCAGCTCCAACAGGAAAGACAGCCCTAAAACTATCCAGCACCCTGGTACTTAAGACACTCACCTGGAGCCTGTGTGACAGAGGATTGAGTTTTTGCTCTGAGGTAACACAGCAGGAACCTCGCCCTCTGTTATCCACCCCAGACACAGGCTCTTGCACAAGGGAACTATAGAGGGGGGAAGCCCTTCCTGCTCTTTTCATGGTAAAGGGAAAACTATACACATCTTTAAAATGTAACTTATGAGCCAACAAAATTAAAGCATTTACATTATACAGTAATTAGATTTAAAAACATACAAAACTAATTGTAGATTAGTAATACATAGGGTGAACTTACAGCATCATATAGAGAGTAGAGCCAGGGAGGCCAAGATGTCAAACTTGCACAGTGAAACTTCCTCTAAAACCAAAAATCACAAATTATATCTTTAACATTAGGGAGAGTTCTTGTGCAAACAAATAAAACTGAGGAGAGATACCGATTAAAGACAGATCAAATTATGACCATCAGGACCAGTACTTAGATGTGAAGCTTCCAAACCACTTCTCAAATGCACTGTGAGCTAAGACTTCTGTATAAGACAGAAAACCCATCTAAGCATTGAAAGTATTTCTAATGCTTACTAATAAGAAGTTATGCCTTTCAAAAGAGCATCTATTTGGAATTTAGACAGTTCCAAAACTAAGTACTATGAAACAGTGCTTTGTTCCTTTGTCTCCAACAACTGTTGCTACTTTAGAAACCACAACAAACCACAATGAGAGGTAACTGAACTGTTCATATCAATTTAGTCAAATGCATTATAAATAAAACAACAGAAGGAGATTAATGGGCCATATCAGGTATTTTACGCTGACATACAAATTCAATGGATATATGGTGATATTTTTTAAATGGAAAACTAATCTGTTTAAAACCTAACTAAAAATATCAACACGCAAGTCGGGAGTTCCAGAGGATGCTTTCTCACAGCAGAGCAATTACTGATTAAGAAAACTTGGGCAGTCTTAATGTTTAATCACATATTGCTACTCTCTCTAGTTGGTATCTATTATTAATTGAAATTGCATTTTCAGAAATGTTTATTAAACAGAGTTTGTGCCAGTCTACTGAAAAGCTACTAAAGCCAGCTCTACTCTAACTATCCACACACAGTGAAGAAAATACTGTACAATATCCTTTTAACAACGTCTTATGAAGAAAACATTCAGACCCAAATGGAGCACTGAGTAAGAAACAAATGTGGAGGCGGAAAAAAAAATTCCCTGAAGGTCTTACTATTAGGTTTTATTGAAAGGTATTCTTTCAAAATACAAATTTTACTAATAAGAGCGTCCAATACTACTGCATCATACTTCACTGTGAATGTGACTAACATGTTCATTTGAATTGTGTACAGAAATATCTATACAACAACACTTAGCACACTGGAGGAACAAAATACAAGTGGCCACCAATATCACCTCTAAAAAAAAAATAAATCTTCAGCTTGCGTGCAGTTTGTGAGTATCCTACAGACAAGAAACCTAGATTATAACTGCATTCCTTAACCACCAGATTTCCAGCAGTGTAAGGTTATTGGCTTAGTTAATCAATCAACCACACTGCTTTCCAAAATAGAATCTCAAATTGTACTGTAAACACTGACAAATTAAATTAATTTTCCCTTTGAGGGAAACTATCTTTATTTTACAAATGAGAAAAATCAGGCAATAGAGACTAAAATTCACAGCAAATAAATGGTACTTTGAAGACAGAATTCAGGATCACCAAAACTCAAGTTACTGCTTTAATCAACAAGTATATTTTCTAACACAGGGTCAGCTCTTGTATGGAACAGAAACTGTTCTTAAAAATGCAGCTTCCATTTTCTGACGTTTTTCATTATATTAGTACATACAGAGGTACAAGACACCATATTGAAAACAGTCACAATTCTACTGACATCGGAGTGACTGAGATCAACAGGGCAATGGGTCTTACTCTGGATCTTCATCGCTGTCTGCAAAACATGTTCTTACAGTGGGTGCACTGCACTTATCACACAGAATCAGCTTCAGAGAGGGATTTCTGCCCCTGCCCCCTCAGCATAGTGTTTCTGGGCTTATTAATTCAGATTAATTTGTTCAATTACTCTGAGAATCAATAGCTCTTTGTTATTAATGAGGCTTTTTGTTCGGGTTTTGTTTTGTTTTTTGAGGGGGGAACAGAGTTCAAAACAACTGAAGAAAAAAAATAAGTCCAAACCTTAACTGCATCTGACAATGAGGACAGTTACTAGGATTCTATATTAATTTCTGGAGATAGTTCCAAAGATCTCTACCACTACAGAAGACTTCAAGGTATCTTTCCTTTCATAGGCCACTGACTGAATTGGTGGATTAAATAATAAATAAGTAAGCAAGCCACAATTTTAGTTTTTCCAGAAGAGCCAGGTTGCCTTGTTTCACTGTGCCCTCTCCTACTGACTTCAGTGCTAACTTTTGTCCCATTAACCCTGCTTTGCATATCTGTCCACTGTTAATGACAGTTGGTCTTTGAAAAGCCTGCACTATGCCTGAGAATGAGCTAGGTTTACACTTGAAAGGCTTTTGCTGGTGTAACTGCTGGTACAATACGCTAGCATGGTGCTTATCATGGGAAATATAATTTATTCCAGCAAAATTCGCTTTTTGACAGCACGTTTTATTTCAGACTCCTAAAGGAAAATGCTGTATATTGGTAAAAGTGCACATTCACTTGTATAAAAGCATCTTTTAGCACCTTTTAAACAGCACAGCTGTCTCCTGCACAAATCACACCTTATTATTCTCCTGAGAAATGCCTAAGTTTGTAGCTTAGACATGGCATGAGCCACTTAGGACTATGGAAAATTGTGCCCTGTGATCTCAGTGTGAATTCCCTCCTGATTCCAAGTACTGTCACAACTGCAGTGATGCAAAAATAATGTAAAAAAGCAAAGACAGAATTTGTGCCAGTGAAGCAAAAACAGGAAAATAGAACCTAATTCCCTAATGACAACACCAACATGCTGATAATGATTATTTCTCCTCTATCTTTTATTTGTTTGTTTTGGTTTGGTTTTGTGTTGTGTTTTTGGGTTTTGTTGGTGTTTTGTTTTTTAATCGGAGTCAAGTAAACATTTAAAAATTCTGGAAGCTCTCTAAAGAGGTGTAAAGTCTGCATACTTATAATAAAAGCTCTAGGAAGTAAAATTTGTTAAGACCATGGAACTGCTAATTTACCCACTTTGTGCGTAAACGCACCATCTTCTACTAATAACTATGTCAACATATGCAGCATGAATAAAAAAATTGGAGATTTCTATGACCCCTTCTTATTTTGTCACTTCAAGCACCATAATAAAATGTAAATAAAAGTTTCTAAACTCAGTTTACAAAAAGAAAGTTTAAAACAAAAGGTGAGGGGAGGAAGGGAGGGAAGGGATTACAATATTAGGTATCCCAGAAGGTACATCCATTTAACAAATACCAATAAATCAAAAGACAGACTTTGAAATACATGTGCAATTGGCCAACATAAATGGATTGTGTAGAAATATTGTGATCTGACAAAGGTAATGACTAAGCACAAAAGTTAGCAAGAACTTTAGATGTGTTATATAAAAGTTTACAAGATGAAAGTGCAACATAAAACATGCTCAAAACTATGATGTGCAGCCTAGTTGTTAGCCAACAATCACCTCCGTGGGAGTATTTGAGTTAAAAAAAAAAAACCTTGAGTCTCTCATTCTAACACAGATCCACATTTTCTGTAAACAAGTAACTGGAGGTACAGAAGTTAATCTGTTAACTGATACAGGTTTTACAGCAAAATTAGCACACAGAATTGTGATTCCAAACAACTAAAACATCACAGATCTCCCATTCCATCACTGAAATTTGGGAATTACCTCCAAACCAACTCTGCTCTTTAAAAACCTCTTCTACCCAAATCAAACAGTCACAGAAAAACAGAAAAGCCTCCTTAATTTCAAAACAAAAATCATTATTACAAGTACAAAGCAAGAGCATTGGCACTGTCAACACTGATTGCCAATATTTTTATTGTCAAAGCAACATCAGTAAAAGTTAGAACGCTTCTTTGACCTGCCTATAAATTAAATTCTATAAACTTAATGGTCTTTTTCCACCAACACTTCATCTACAAGCTTTATCAACCAGCACTCTGAGGTGTTTATGTTAAAAAATAATTGCAATAATATGAATCATGTAATGTATTATTATACAAGTTATTAATCTAGTAAGTGTAATTAAAACCAAAGAGAACTCCTAATACCAATCATGTATTTCCCCATTGTTGATGCTGATAATCACAAAAAATGTGACAAAAACAGGAGGTTAGTATCTAGCATTCTAGTTGCACATCCTCTTCTAAAGATGAAGGGGTGGAATTTTATATTGATTTTCAAAATAACATAAAAAATTTGGAAAAAAAATGACCAACGAAACAAAACCAAAATCCCACAACTAGTTTCTAACCTTTTGATATTTCTGCCACCATTGATGTATAGCTTGGTCTTGCCATGCTGTAGGTTTCGAAGATGGAAATATATGGCATCGGCTGAGAGACTGCAGCTGTACTGCTGACATTGTTGAAGGCAGCACTCGCTCAGGAAGGATTTGTACTTTAGCCTGCTGGATTCTGATAAAAGCAAAAAGAAAAAAGGATAAGATATACACACATACACACGAGTATAAAGAAAATGGATTTTACTGCTTATAAAAACATAGGTTTGTGTAATAGATCTAATCACTACACAGTACTATAGAATTTAAGCAGCAATACATTTCACCAGATTTTTAAAGTTGTACTAATGTAAATCAGATTACCTTAGGGAACACAGAGTATATCTGTAGCAAACAAAACACATACTATCCTAGAAGACAGATTATCTCACGCCCCTGGCTAAATTATTAAAGCCAATGTGCTGACTGGACTTTGGTCTACCTAAATTGAAGACACAAGTAATCTCTATTTTCCCTTTAAAAAACAGATTTAGCTGTTGTCCAAATATGTTTTGTACTGTTATACAGATCACTGCTTTAACTTTTCAGCAAAGTTTCTTTGCTGTTGGTTTTTGAGTTTTTTTCCCACCTCTCGCACTTACCTACCTTTTTCCATGGGATACAACTGGCTGTCCTTGTATTTTAGAGCACTTGACATCTGCTGGGATGGTGATGGCAGAATTAAAGACAGATTGGCAGTGGCAACACAGCAGAATATTCTACCATCTCAGCACTGTATTTTTAGATTTCTGTTTCCTCAAGTTACTTCTGGCGTAAACTAGGAGTCAGCTATTACATATCAGAAAGAAAGTTTAGCTGAAATGCAGTTTGCTATCTTGAAACCACAAAACCATATGTGCTAGGCTAGAGTTCAAAATCAGCAGAAACAGGATACAGACTCTGATCATCTTTTAATATTCTAACATCAACCAGGTCACCTATTCCACAAAGATTTCAGCAACAGTTATGTGGCTACTAAGAATACTGTCTAGCAGAAAAGACTTTGCATTTTAATAGTATTATGCGTCAGAAGTCCTGAAATAGAGATGCACGTCATTACAAATTTCCAATTTTATTTGCAGGGGCAACATCGAACACTGTTAACTTACTATCAATTATTAAAATTATGTTCTGCCAGAAGCACTTAGTAATCAGTGTTTCACCAAGAACTACGGGAATTTTGTTCTTGCTAAGAAGCCAAATATTTTTCCCTCTTTATCAAAAAATTATTTTAGACTGGTATTACTTATTTTTAACTGCCTTGAATAAATGAAAATGTTTTCTTTGTACACATGGAACATTACGTTGTTCTTATGTCACATTCCCTTCTTACATCCCTCTGATGTAGAGACAACAGCGGCAGTGAACTGCCAAGCTACCAGGCTCATTCACAGAAACAATCAGAACACTAGCACAGGAGTCTGGAGGGTGTCTCCTAACCTGCAGAGAGCATTTCCTCAGAATGAACTGAAGAACATAGATTTATTTCAAAGTGCATGGACAGTACTAAAGTTCAAGTTCACTCATCTCTCCCCAAACCCACAAAGTGGGCAATATTTGCAAGTTACTTACTCTGCACAGTAAGTGATTCCAACAAATGTAGAGCTTGCTATGGTGAGAAAAACTGATCTCACTTGCTTTCATACATTTAAAAATGCATATTTATGAATGAAACTTGTCAATGTGCTGTATAAAAGTGATCTCTGCTAGTCAGCAGATACAAAATCATCATAATAAAACGCTTTAACACCACAACAAAATCACTGTACATCGTAACTGCTTCTGAATACTGAATTCTCAGTAACAATGCTGCTGTTACTGTAGTCATCCACATACTGCCATCTTGTGTTCAAGCAAAAGCTGCAAAATTTGGAATGTTACCCGTTACCAAACATTTGATAGTGAGAAATAGCAAGTATCACATATATTCTTCATTTCCTCAGCTGCAGGTCATAAAAGTACATGAAAATCCTGTGCCCAAACCTTCCTCTAGGCCTCTTTCTAAAGCAATGCCATTGTACTGAACAATAGCAGAATAGAGATGATTAGCTTTAGATCTACAGATTTGGAGTAAAATGTTATAGGCCTTCTAGAAAAGATCACAAAAACCTCTAGCAATCGTGCCAGGAATCATCACATGCTCACAGGATCAGTATCTGGAGCCTGTATCTCTGGACAGCATCGCTGACAGCGGCTCACGATGCAACACATGGTGCAGAGCATGATGTCAAGAAGAATTTGAAAATGACAGAAGACTTGGCACACTTAACTAAATGTTCACAGTCTTAGTCACTTTTATAAATGGACAAAAGTATTAATTACATAATAGGATAAAACTGGCTGGAAGAGGAGCCTCTAAATATCACAGGTATCACACTGGAAAAAACAGGACTAGAATACAGAAGAGAATACTCCTATCAAATCTGATTTGAGTGTGTTTGACAAGCACAAGAACTGTCAACCAGTAACAGGAGAAATAGCACATTTCTATCAGTGAAATATCAGCAAACAGTTAGAAAGGAAGAGGTAAGACTTACTGAAGGATGTACTAAACTGTGACAATGGTTACAATGAACAAGATTTAGTATCTGAGAAACTAAAAAAGATGGGCTGCTGGTGGTTAGCAAAAATCAAGAACCTATTTTCATATTCAAATATTTATCCAAAAATCTCAGTGTGCTTTTATGGTTTACAAAGAAAAAAAAAACAAACAAGAGAAGCGACTTGTTTCTCCATTATTATTACCAGACTCCAGTCCTCCCCTTCCATGGGAAGCTTCTCATGAACACCACACCCCCTCTAGGCAGCTACTGTCCTCTCCATATCTGAATCATGCGGCTGACTCCTGCACACTCTTGAGTCTCAGTAGGTAAAGAACACTCAAAGTAGAGAAGTCAGGCAGCAAATTGTTATTAGTTGTAGTGTCAGACTCTTGCCTGCAGCCTTTCAGAGCTGCAACTGCACATAAAGTTATGAAGTGGAACACATCCAATGCAGACCATCTCTAGGAAGGTCTTCTTTCAGAAAATGAAAGTTAAAATTTTTCAAAGGAATGGAAACTGGTTGCTCTCAGGGAGCTTTTCCAGAAGACAAAAGGCACACACCTGACACCATATTCTCTCATTTCACATCTGGTTTGCAACAGGGATGAGAGAGATTTTAAAATAAAGTTTTAGAACTCATAATGCAGGCAAATCAACATCTTCTTCCTGACTTAATTTTCACAAAGTCATTTTGACAGATGTTTTCTCACACACATCAAATCAAGCTACAAGTAGATATTCTTTAGAGAACTTCATGGCAAAGTTATTAACTATTAAAACATGAGTCTTAGAACAGGAAATGTCAGAAGTCCTTAATAACCGGAGAAGCTACTGATTAAGCATTCAGTTAATATCTACAGTAATTAGTCAATTGTGTGACTGAAAGGGCACATGCACCTGCAGTAAAATGTAAATGTTTTGGTGAAACAAGATTTGCAGCACATAGAAATAAATACATAATTTTCTTACCCATCTGACTGGGTTCTTATTTCAAGCACCTTGAACCTCTGTCTTCCTATTGCTTTCACTTTGACTGTTTCAATTCCATACTCCTGCTCTTCTCTGTAGGCATATATTTCTGCTGTTGTTCCAAAATGTGCTTCCCTTTCACGTACGTTACTAAAAGTAACAGAATTAAAAAGGTTACCTACCCTCCAAACAGAGCTGCTCATTCAGATTTCACAAGTTAGTCTACCTGCACCGACTACACATAATTAAGTCTTATTAGAAGTAAATTTGGTAAAATATCTTCAACTAATCACAACCATTATTTTTCCATTTTAAAAGCAACTTCTAATGGTTTGTGTGGTTGGGGGTTTTTGACAGCTGATTTGGTTTTATTTTAGGGTCTAGAGATGAAATTCCAGGAACACAGGGATCCCCACCGTATCTGCATCTGAAATGCAGATGCTGAAATTACCAAAATTCTTTAGATTGACTTTATAAAAATTACTATTCCCACCTCCTACATAATTAAACCACAGTAAATTTGGGGGGAAGAGAGAGGAACACTCCCAACTTCTTTTGGCACAGATTAGCCTTTCTCTTTTCCGCTTTTCTATCACCTCCTGTCTCAACTCTATTGTGAAGCATTTGTCTGTGTTTGTTAAATTCATACACAAACCAAGCAAATATACCTTTACAACAATACAGTTCTCAGAATAAGAATCTGATTTTTACATTTCAGATCAAGGCTTATTCTTTAAGCAAGATGGAGCCGTGCATTCAAACAGTTACTGAAATCAAAAGGATGTTCAAACAAGGACAGCAGATCAACACCTACTGCTTCTCTACACAAACATGTGATACTGTCAAGCAGCTAACCAGTAGGACTTGAAAGCCTTTTTCATTATGTACTAGAAGACAATTTTTGTCAAACAATTTCAAACCACAACTTATGTTATTCACCACAGAACTGATGCAACCATCTGCTTTTGATTTAGTATCCAAAGAAATTGAGCTAAAAATACATGCTGCATGCTATCAGTAAACCCACTTGTGTATTTTACCTGTATGCAAGAACTGCAAACGTTCTGTCTTTCTGAATTAAATTCCGCACCATGCTAACCTCTTGAGGGTGAAAAAGCTGAAGAGGTAACGTCTGTCCAGGAATCAACATCACCATCACGTGGGGCAACACTGGAATCACCTGACAGCTGTCATCGTCATGAACTGTTCTTCCATGAAATTCTTCCATATCAGAACCTAAATACTGAAAACAGTAAGTAAGGAAATGACAGTAGTATAAAAGGTTTTGGTGATTTACAGGCACAGACTAAAACTAGGTCTTTGGCTTAAGGATATTACAATAGAATTACACAAAACCAATCAAAATCTCTTCAAGACTTATTTAATGGATGATGTGTAAAAACCATACCACATGCGATGTTGGCAAACTGGTATCAAAATTAATGATGTTTGGCTTTTCAGCTTCTTTACTATCTTGATCTTCAACATCCATTTCATTGTCATCCTCTTCCTCGCTCTCTGCTAATAAACACATACAGAACATTGTGTATAAATCAATCAGCAAAGACTAAGATACTGAGAAAAATCAGAGAATCACACATTCAATATTCCAGGCTACAGCCTTTCATGGGGAAGCAACTTTTGTATGTGTAAACTTGTGAAAAATAATTTTCTTGCTGTTACAGCAAAATCACCGTTCTATAGAAAGGGCTGAAAGCTGGTAATTTCTTTCTGAAAGGCTAAAGAACAACTTTTTGTGGAATAAAATAATAAACAAGTCTGCCAGTTCAGACTTTCACTACAGCAGCACTTCCTTATCTCAATTCTAAATGTCTTCTGTCTGTACACCAGGATGCCAGATAACTTCTTGTAGGCTGCTGAATGCAGCATTTGAAGTAGCACAAACCTAAACAATGTAACTGCACACATATAGCAAGCGAGTTAAAAGTAATCTGAAGCTCTATATTCATGCAAAGATTCTTTCTGGTATTTTAGACAATTTCACTGATGTCAGTCTCTCCTTGTGTGCATACCAAACAGACAAATCCTAGCACATGCACAGACCCTGCAAAGGCAACTACTAAGGTGGCAAATAATGACTCTGCAAAGGATTTCAGGTATGAAGTAGTATTTAAACTATTATACTAATTTCCTCTCATTTATCAGTTTCAGGTGTCAATCTTAAAAGTACTGTCATGCAAGACAGTTATCAGTATGTTTTATTTTGAAAACGTAAACAGTGCATTTATCTATACAAAATCTGTACAGGTACTTTTAAAATACATTAAAAAATAGTGAAGATAATTTAAAAATATATCCATCTCTAAAATGCTGGTTTCACAGACTGCTCTGTGCATTACCATATAAAATATGCCTGCAAATACTCTCCCAAAACAAATGCAATGTAACAATCACACATTTGTAACTGTAGTACTTGATACTGTTTAACACAAACAGTATTTATACACATGCTGTATCTAAAATAGACGTTATCATGAACTTTGTAAACCAGTCCGCAGGATTCTTACACCAATAACTGCTGGGTAATGGATAATCCCAATGGTGCTGAAAAACATCATTTACATCTTGAAAGCTATTACATTACAAGATAGACAGAAAAATATCTTTACAATAGTCTATCTACTTGCCTGCCTTTGCAATTGGTACCTAAAAAAATAATCTAGAGTTGAAAATTTAGAAGGTGGAGTGATTATCTTATCTGAAGGGTACTGTAGGCAAATCTTACAAAAGGAGTCTTCCTTCAGAAATGGGAGCACCACCGCTCTCTCCACCAAGATCTTACTATTTCTGAGTGGGAGGACAAGAGAACAATGAAGACATTATTAGCTACATTTAGAGAACCTTTTCCTTCCCTCTTTGGCCTTCAGACACATTTGTTAAATGTATTCTTTACGAAATGTTTAGTCAATGGCCTTCTTGCTGCTTCACTTTTAATTTTAATTACTGCATAGTTTACAAAACCCTCTCTGTAGGAGGCACAGCACAACACACTGATGTTATGGATCCATCCTATATTGTATTTATCTCAACAAGAAACGATCCAGCATGACAAGAAAGGAGGTTACAGGCTCTCTGGTGTTTTATCTAATTACAGAATTTAAAGCAATAGACATCGTCTTCCTAATTACTACAAAAAATAGTCAATTTCTACATTAAATTTCTTTTCCATTATATTCAATTAGGAACCCCAACCATAAACGATTCCAAAACATTTAAGACGTACAAAATAGCCAGCATTTTGTTTAGTCTGATGGGGGGAAAGAGTAGGAAGTTTTTGTTTGGTTCTGGGGAAGCAGCACAGAGTAGGGGAGGGAAACTGACCATCAAAAATTATATTCTGGTTTGCATGTACTCTCATCAAGTTGCATCAATCATTAGCAGTTTTAATGGCCTTTTAGCGCAAGGCCATTTCACTTGTTTTTCTGAACACAAAGGGAATTAACAGCAGTTGATTAGAAAGAACTGTGCCCTGCAAACTTTTGCTCGTTCTTGCCAAAAATGCACGCTAGCTGCTGTGTGGTGGCAGGGAGGAACGATGACTCATTTTACTGCAGCAGCACCATGTGAATGTCGAAAAAACACCACCGTCTTGACTCTCCTCCTCGATCACACTACAGGAGCAGGAGACGGAAGGCAAAAGAAACTGCATCTTTTACACCCTTAACTATACATTTTTGTTTATTGATTATTTTATTGCAAGATTAGCAAGACCTCCAGTACACAGAAACAAGGGAAAGGCAAGTGCTGGAGGCACACTGCATGCCAAGGCTCACATTTCCTTCCTGGCAGGTTAGGTGTTCCCAGACGCTCGTGCTGACCCACTAACACCACCAGACCTACTCTCAACACCTCTGCGCAGAAATGAGGAAATATGAACCTTATTTTAAAAAAACTGGCACACAGTAGGAAATAGTAAGGCTACATTTCCTAAAACATTCAGGAAATATTTTCATATTATTTTAAATATACAGGCATAAAACCGCTCACAGAGTTTCCCGATACAGGAAATTACATCAGTTCCTGGCAGGACGTACTGCTATGTGCTCTGCAAGCTTATTCTGAGATAATGTCCTTTCCAGTTTAGCTCGAGCTGCCCCCAAAACCATACGATCTCCTGTCAGTTTGCAGGCACTAGATGCCAAACCTGAAAAAACCGCACGTTACTGTGCCGTAGGTGCCCCCACGCGGAGTTACGCTGGTGTGTGTGGACAGACAAGCCCGGCTGCTCTACAAACTCCAGCACCAACACTGCAGGAGCCTGGGCTGCGTGTGGAAGCCAAGGCTGCTCTCGAGGCCTGTGCACCGCTTCCCTGCTTTATTAATGGCATTAGAAGGCGTTTAAACCCGGTGGAGACTTTCTAAACCCGCACGTTTTTCCCAGACTTTGGTTTTAGGAGAGGTCCAAATGGACAAAGAGTGTCTGCGTTTTGCCCACTCTGGTGGGAACTTCACAGCATGTTTCACCCCAGTGCCTCGACACCGACTGCCCGAGTATCCACCGCAGAGCCAGGGGCCCAGCCAGGCCGGGCTGCGGCCGCCAGCCTGCGGTAAAGACAGAAAGCAGCAGGTTGCAGGCTGAAGAGCAACTGTGTAAATTCCAAGTTATTTTATTAAATTTGGTGAGGGCAAGTATATGTATAACCCAAAGTATGTTAGCTAATCTGGTCAGTGCCAATCTGTCTGTATTGAGTAGCGCAAATTACTGTAATTTAGATGAAGTCAGAGCACTTTGATACGATGAAGGGCTTTTTTCTTTTTAGCAGTCAAAGATATACACAGCCAGCTGTGATGAGTTTTTATTTTATTTTAGGAGCCTTATTTGTTAGAACATTGATTTAGAAACAAAATTTAACTACCACGCCACCAGACCTTGTGGGATTTAATGCCCAAATTCATATTGTCTCTTTTGTATCTTGCAATTGCTGGTTGGGAACAGTGGCTAACTGCAAAGTTGCTGTTGGTTAACCTCTTAATAGTTTGGAGTCAGGGGATGTTAATCACCTTTCTAGAAGAAAAATACACCAAAAAGGACAGCAATGTAAATGTATTTTATGGTATTAATTACATTAATACATTTATAGGTATTAAATGTAGCATTAGTTAGAATTTCATTTGGTGTTGCTGAGGGTCATCCCTGGGATGAAGAAAGCAATGGTTTGGGTGCTGGTTGCCTGAGACAAGTGCAGTGCATTAATTATGGGTGCGGTTCTCAACGAAAAGTGTTTGTAAACAAACACCAACCTCCCACCTGTCATACACATGGAACAGAATATATGCTCTACCAAAAATACGTCTCTACCACCCCCACCCACCCCACCCCCCCAAATATACCATTAGGTCAGTTTGCTATTTAATTGCAGTACTTCTTTTCCTCCCATTTTCTCAGCATCTGCACTCCTGTGTCCACTTCCCTACTGTCCTCAGGAGGAAAAACTATGTGACTGGTAAGAGTATAAAAGAGGAATTAGCAGCAGCTATACTGACAAAATCTTCACCATGTTAAAATGCTCAAGCTCATCTCCATCCCTCAGCTCCCTTCTATCTCAGCACTAGTTGAGAGAAAAGAAG